AGCGCAACACGTTAATGCTTGTATACCGAAATCATTTGATGCTCGTGAGGCTTGGCCAGAATGCATATCATCAATAAGCAACATTCGAGATCAATCTGCATGCGGTAAGTTGCAGCTGGTGCATGAAAAGGCAGTCTAACAGCGAAATCCCAGATTGGAACGTACTAAGCTTGCGGGGGCTCTTATGCTGAAGTTACAGATGCGCTGTGGTTTAATATATGGATTCATGCTGGCTGTATTTTGGCCTTTTCCTGCATGCGAGGAAAAAGGCGTCGGCTGGGACGAAAGTACCGCATTATGAGGCCATGTAAACTTTCAGCGTAGATGACTATTAATTCTGCATGAAGCTCGATTGTTTTTTCGGTCAATGGTCGTTCACCGAACAAATGCAGGTTTAACAATGTAGAGGAAGCCAGAAGAGGAGTAAGAAATCCGTAAAATGCACCGGTTCTGAGTTTGCTATAAAATTAAATGTTTCTCATGTCAGCTTGCAACGGTTTCCACCTCCACGGTGAATCAATACCATACACGAATGTAGTAATATTCCTGTAAAGTTTCAGCTTTCTACCTTGTTTAGTTCCAGAAACCGTTTTTTGCCAAAGAAATGTATATTTGTTTCAGAAGTCAGCAAGCATGATCTAAGCGTGCATAAGCGATGGTTTTAAAACAAGAAAGTGAAGAATGGGATGGAGAAATGACCCCAAAATTTCGCGCTCCTAGGTCTTCTGACTGCTGAATTTAAAGTGGGTGATAAAGTTCACTCGCTTCCGAATGCAAACATACACTCACGGACGATCTCTAGACAATATGCGTTTTAATCTGCTGCAACAACGATACAACGTTGTACAGTGAAGACGCAAGAATGTCCTTGCTCAAAAAGTGGCGCGCAACAGTTAATCGGTGCGATCCTGCGTTTTTTCACTGTTCTGAGCAGCTGACGCTTGCTGTAAAAAATTTTGACTGCCTTACAATTTCATATGTGAATTCACTGTCTTAGTTTTACTGGACTTTTTTTAAGCTTGTTTCCTAATAAAAATTTGGCTTTTTGCCTTGTTAATTCAAGTCAAAGAATATTGCCAATAATTTACAATTTGAGATTTAATCTGCTTGCAAATGACGCAGAAGTAAACGCAAAATCTGCACCTAATTTTTCATGGTCGCGTATGTATAGAAAAAACCGTCCTACAATTCTGCCTCTGCGCATTTATCTAGCTCTAGATCAAGAAAGATGCCAACAATTTCTCATCTGAGCTTATTTGTTTCTATACGTTAGGGGTAAGCATAAAGCAAAGTCAAACTCAAATTTCAAGGATCTCATGCAGATAGAATGCCAAAACTCACAAATTTAACCTCGTTGAACACAAAATAAGTACCCTCCCAAAGCAAAATTTGCTATCATCTTTAATCTGTGGTTTTGTAACATTCCAGGGTCATGTTGGGCATTCGGTGCTGTAGAAGCGATGTCTGATCGTATCTGCATTGCATCGAAAGGGAAAATCCAGGTGTCTCTTTCAGCAGCTGACGTATTGAGTTGTTGCAGCGATTGTGTGGATGGGTACGTTTATCCATAACTGATTTAATAGTCGGGTTCAAAATGTCCTATGATTCATAGTTGATAAACAGGAATTTTTTTCTTGACATTGTTTCAGAATGTTCCCTATTATGCGCTTTTGTTCAAATGTAATGCGCACATTGACGAGAGATCATCGGTGTGTATAATATGTGTGCGTCTATAGTTTGTGTATCTGTATTTGTGTGTTGGGATTTTTGTGACACACTTTTAATTCGCCAAGTAGAATAGTTGCGGAGCTGAAACTTTCGAAACTTGTTTCCACTCCATGTGCGATCTATCTTTTCAAAAACCATCGTTCACGTACATT